GATTGATTGAAGTAACTCTACTTAATGAAACTTCAACTTTAATTTTGGAGAAGATTAGAGAAAATTTGTGTACGGGTTATTCACTTAACAATCATAAAGAAAACTTCAGTATGAAAAATTAAATTTTGGAAAACCCTTCAATAAAAAAATCCATTCAACAGATTTGTGGGAAAATGAGTTCTCATGTTTCAAAAATTGAATGATAACATAGGTTTTTAAGAGAAAAGAGACATTTAGAATAGAAGAGTTGGCGCCAGCAAGAAACAAAGGACCGTGTTGTAAATGTTAAAAAAATTACGAATAAAATTTGATTCCTTTATCATCATTTTTGCTACTTCTACTTTAGTTGAGATTGAAGGTAGCCAACCAATTATCATGTAATAAATTTTATCTATGCTCATTGCATCTCTATTTTATGTTACTGATTCCATTTTTATGCTTAATTTAGTTATGCTTTTAAAACCATGGTTTGTTTTTAGATATGAAATCTTAAAGCATTTTCTATATATTGATCTAGATCAATTTACCTGCCTAAATGAGTTTGATGGTTAGGAATAAGATTTAACTCATTTATTGTTATACATTTTCAATTTTAGAGTAATAAGATATTAATGTTTAGTTGTAGAACTTGAAATCTAGCAATTAAGGAATCAATGGTCTGTGATTTGATTAATATATTTATAGATAAGAAATTATTTGTATAAACGATTCCATAAATGAGAGGTCGGTTCAATGTAGTGTAAGATTATCACCTTAACTATTTTTTATAAGTTGTAATTATTTTAATAACTTAAATTTTATGATATATATTTCAATCAAACTAATTTTTAACTTAAAATAGATAAATATTTGAACAAATTTAGAATAAAACGAGTCTTAACAATTTTATTTATTGTTTGTAACCAATTATTTTTTTAGAAAATATGATATTTCTAAAACACCTTATTCAGACGTATCAAAATTTAAACTAGATATTTATGAGTAAGGTGTAAATATCAAACTAACAAATCTTACTAAAACAAACTAACCTGTAATATTATTATAGGATGTGAGTTTAAATTTATTTCAATTATAAACAAATTAAATTTTAAGGTTTTAAAAAAAATTAAAGCCCAAATTTTTATTGTTGTAACGATAAGAAGGTTAGAAATATTAACAAAATTATTTGTTTTATCTAGGAATAAGAATGATATGACCTTATACTTGAAATAATAATATCATTATCATCATTAATTCTTAAACGAGACAATAAAATCGATCTAAAAAAATGGTTTAAATAGAATCAATTATTATTTTTTTAAACAAAAGATTTATAAGAAGATAAATATTATTAAAAATGATAAATAGAATAAATAATAACTCATTAATTAATTATAATGAATAAATAATAACAATTTAAAAAAATCATCATTTTTAAATTTTTTCAAGATATCATAATCTCTAGACTAGATATTCAATAAGTATAAAATTAAATTATTTATACCGTTCAATATATATATATATATATATATATATATATATATATATATTGTGAAAATAAATCTTATTTTTTATAATAAAATAATTTAAATTTTATGAATAAAATTTAGTAGATTTTTTTTCTTTTTATTTAGAAATAAAAGATAAGATTATTTTTTAATTTCATTAAAATTCACTAAGAAATATTACTTTTTAACATTGTTATTTATTTATATTAAAAATATAGCTTATTTTAAATTAATTAAAAGTATATCTAAAATATTATCCGATTGCTTAACCGTATTAAAAACGACTAAGGAAGTTGAGTATTGTAATTTAATGTTATTACTAACCAAATTTCAAATTTTGTTGGAAGCCCACATTCATTAAGTTAATTAAATTAAAAATATATATGTAGCATAATCTCTAGTTCATTAACTGTATTAAAGATTATTCACGGAAGATGGAATAATACTATCGGAGCAAAGTTTAAATTTCTAGAATATGCATTTAGTATCCCATCACCTTGTTTCAAATGAGATTGTTTAAGTTGGAGAAATTTTGAAAAAGAAAAGAACTAAATTTTTATATTAAAATATATATAAATTAAACTCTCTCTCTCTCTCTTTTTTTTTAATTGATCAAATACCCTATGTAGATTGATCAAATACAAACCATTTAATTTTGAAATACGTAATACAATTACATTTTCTATAAATAACGTTTTATTTTTATATATTTTAAAAATATATTCCAAAAAACTAGTTTTCTTAATATAGTTACATTTTTATATACTACGAAAATAAGTTTTTGTAATATAAAAATACATATTATAACAACTATGTTGCAATATATTACAGTTTAGAACATAAATATATTATGAAAAGTTACTTCTATAGAAGAATTATGATAAAGTATGGGGTGTGAAAGTAAAAAGAAAAGAATTAAAAAAAAATTGTAGACGTATAAAACAAAATGGGAAGTGTGAATAGCATGGGCCTAAATTGTGTTGGTTACCAGGTGATAATCCCAGTGAAAAGCCCACCTAATTAGGCATAAAACTTCAAGGCTCATAAACCCATAAAAGAATCCACTACTTCTTAGATAGACTCCTTCTAAAAAAAAAGTTATAATAATCACAACTATTTAATATCAATCAGTAAATTATTACACAATAAAGTGAGTAGACGGAAGTTAATTGCAAAATAGAAAACGGTGAAGAAGAGAAGATCTAATAAATATATATAAAAAATTTTACAACGAATTTCATAGTTTGACATAAAAAATTGTTTTAATTTAAAAAATATCACTATATTTTTATTTTATCAATTTTTTATTAATATGATGCAAAAAATTCACGTTAAATATATTGTTTACTAATAAATAATTTATATATATATATATATATATTAAAACATAAATTTATTGTTAACTTCTTAATATTCTCTTGGTATACAAGAGAGAAAAATCCAATACTTAATTTATTATCCATTATAAAATATCGTAACTTGAAAAAATATATAATTATTTAACACATTTTTTTTACATGATTCTTATATTAAATCAATTTTATCATATAAGAGTTATCTTATATAAAGAATGGAACTCACACAATTTAATAAATGGAATAATTATGTTTTTTTTTTGTTATGTTTCTTTATATTTATTTTTATCCTTTTATACTTTTAAATGGAAAGATTTAATATTTCAATTTTTTTAAATATATTATTTTAATTATTTTTATACTTAATTTTTTAATATTTATAAAGTTTATAGAGTAACTAAATTATACAATGTTAAATTTTTATATATAGATTTATTATCTAATAATAATTTTATATTATTTTAAAATCAATAAAATAATCAAATTATATTTAAAAAAATTAAGAAGTAATTAATCAATTTTTAAAATATAAAAACTAAAAAAAAAAAAAGATACTAAAAGAAAAGCATATTAATCCATAATAAATCTTAAATGATTTTTCTAAAACAACACACAGACTCGTAGGTGACTTTTTTAGTAAGCCTCGATAGTGATTTATTTATTGAAAAATATGCACCTTTCTTCCGTACGTAGTTAATGGAAAAAAAAATGAAAATTGATTGTGGTTTCCTTTGAAGAGTGGTGAAATAGAGTCATGGTAATGGGCAAGGTGGAAAACTATGATGTACTTATTAGTAGATGCCACTTTCCTATCAAATTGTTGGTCTCGTAGAGCCTTTCATATTTTACCAAAGTCAGACACCTAACCTTATAACATCGCAACCACACTCGCTAATATAACACCCCAACTACACTACATATTTTTTTATTATATCTTTTATTTATTTATTTATTTATTTTATTCAATTTATCTTTTATCAATCGAAAGCTTAATCAAATTCCTCTCAAATTTTTTAAAATTAACAATATAATTCTTTTGTAGGTTAAAATTGAAGAATTTGTTATAATGGGTTGGTAATAAATTATATTATACGTAAATTAAAACCATTAATATTTATTTATTAACAGATTTAATGATAATTCGATTGAAAGTGATTATTTTTAAACGTTAAGAGACTTATTAAATTTTTTAATAATAATAATAATAAGACCAAATTTAATAAAATAAAATTAAATGAGACTAAAAAAAAACTTAAACCAATGTTATTTTTCAAGGGCGACAATGATTGATTCAAAATAGTCTCATAATTACACAATCTTTATGGTAACGACAACAATTTTCATTCAAACTTCCCCATATTTTCCATAAAATTGATTGAGAAAAAAAAATGGGGAGGGTTTTATTTCCCATTGCAGATTAAGTTTGACATGTTAATTGCAACTTCTTTTTTTTTTTGGAAATGTGCATATTATTAGGTAATTAATAATAAGATTACGATACATTATATAGATTTGTGTAAAGCTTCACTGAGACGCCTAAGAATGTGTATCTTTTCTGAATCTGATTAACTTTGAAAATGCTCATGAGATACATTTTTCTAGTTTTATGTCTACTGTCCTAACTCAAAACTATGATTAATTAATTAGTAATTACTGTGTTTAATCTCGTACGCATGCAAAGAGAGAGGATAAGAGTGAAGACTATGTATCACGTGATGTGGCATTGAGCACATTGATTTGGAGGGTTAATTTTCCCTTGGGCAACCAAAGTTATGTTGTTTCTTGTGTACAACATCATTCAGAATGGGAAGAGTACAGTTTCCAACAGAAGAAAGCCCACCAAATGCGTAGAAAAAACAAGCACCGTTGGCTTCACATGTAAGTTGATGTAAGGAGGATGTTTGAAAGCGTGAAAACCCAGAGAAAGGTTTACTTTATAGGTTATACACACATGGTTTGGCTTCTCCCACGAGAGAAAATGTGTGACAGAGACATAGCAGCGATCGAAGGGGCATGTTTTTCTTGCATGATTGCACTGAAAAGGAATTTGGTGAATTTCATGAGAAGCAGTAGCATTGAAGTCACTATGCCCCAAGCAACCCCCCTTGTTAAAACTGGTCTCATTTTCTTCCATTCTTTCACCAACTATGACCCTAAACTAACACACATCACCCAATGGGATGGCTTCAGTCCCTTCTCTGCCCTCTGAAGAAGCTCTGGGATCGGCTTCATTCAAGCCACAAAAAGAGTAAGCAACCATTCTAGCTAGACACATGATTCCATCTTAAATTATGCAGTTAACATTTTGTTTCCTCTTTTCTTCTCCTAACACTGTCATACATTCTTATCGTTAATCTTTACTTACGAAAATTATATAAGCTTTTTGTTTTGTAACACAGGGAGAGGAATCTACATTCTGTATAAGGATGTGAAGTCTTGTCCTTGCGAAGATGTGCATGTTCTTTGGTCAATATTGGTTGAGTCAGGGACTGCACCTTCTTCTTTGCCATCAAAATGATTACGAGTCTCTAATTTACCTTAATCCAAGTAAATATTGATATAGTTAATTTCATTTCAAGCATAATATTCATAATATAAATGTACAGCATTCTAAATGCACGATTTCTACATCGTGTTTTTTCTGCTTCTATTTCTATAGATTCTTATATGAAATTGTTTCGGACCTTACAGTGGCCGAAGTAGTTGTAAATTATACTTCAGTTACAAAAGTTAATAGTTGTGCCTATTTTCACAGTTGCAAATAAGGTAACTTTTTTTCAGGGGTCAAACATGATCCCTAACAATATCTTGCAAAATGTTCTGCTATTCCAGTTTCTCGCATTGCTCCGTTTCTTATACGAATCTTTGCAAGATATGTTTTTTTTTTTTTTTATGTATTTCTATATGTGACTAGAATATGGGTTTGGAATATCTTATATATAGAAATAATAGTGATTTATTATTTGTAATGATAATGATTTTATGGTTTTATTAAACAAATTTAATGATAATATAAGCTATAATTCCAAATTTAATGATAGTGATTTATTTATGATAATATTTGGTGATAAAAAAATTTTGAGTCCAATTTTTTTTCACAAAAGGCCTTATATATTTCACTCTAAATTTGTAATAATTACTTTAAATTTAATGTTTTATAAAACTTAAATTATTTATATAATATAGTTAGTTAAATATTTTTCAATTGAATTATTTTTTTACAAAATTCACCGTTAGATTGAATATTTCTTTTATATAGATTACATAATGTTTTAGGTTTATATTATTTTGTCTTCACACATTTCAATAATATAATTAACAATTTACAGTGTTTTTCTCTTTCATTTCGACAGATTTCAATAATAAAGTTAGTAAAAAAAATAAATGTAATAGACATTTAGTCAATTTTTTTATTAAAATAATAAATTTCCTATATTTGTGATTTTTATATATATGTCTAAGTTCTAACAACTTCAAGTTATATAATGTCGTCCAATATCATTATACCTTAATCATTTATACATTCTTGTAAATTTTAAAATAATCTCTCTCTCTCTCTCTCTCTCTCTCTCTCTCATATATATATATATATATATATATATATATATATATATGCCATAAAGCTAAAGAAAAAAATTATAAAAAAATAGTAAATGATTTTAAAGGAGATTAATCTATGACAATGTTGTAAAAAAATTGAATTTTTATGAAAAATAAAAAATGCTTTAAAATGAAATCTGTTACACATTATATTTTTCAAAAACAATTGTGTGACTGACGAAGAACCATCACAAAAAGTATAAAAAAAGCATTTTAAATTTATGTTGTGACGAAAAATTTATGATGAATATTTTTCATAAAATCTTCATCAATGTATATTTATCAATTGTATGACTAAGTTGTGATAAAATATATACTAGTTATAGAATTCACAAATTAGCTTAATTAAAAATTATTACAGAGATTATAAATGTATTATAAATTGGGATGAATATTTTTCCGTCACAAAACGTCATTACTAATTTTATTTTCTTTTACCTGTCTTTATTTAAAAGCATAACTTATTTTAAAATATTTATAAAACTGATTTTCGAATTTATCATTCTAAGCATCATTCGAATATAAAGAGTTCGAGTTTGTTTAATTTAATTTATTTTTCAATCTTTAGAAAAAAAACATTTAAAACAAATTATCTTAAAAATAATTTGTGCTAATTTTATTAAAAAAAAGAATTAGAAAAATAATTTTATAATAACAAAATTAATCATTTATTGTGCAAACGGTGATATTCATTAATAAAAAACAAAAAATATTGTTTATCAGTTTTTGTAGTTTTTAAAAACAAAAATATTTTTTTTACAAAACATTGACCAAATAAATATTTTTAATTTTTAATAATTAAAAAACTAAAAATTATTTTAAAAACAATAAACTTTTCTTATTAATAACAACTTCAATTATAATATTCTTATTTAACCGGATATAATTGAATATAAAAATCAATCATATAAATAATATATTTTAAAAAAAATTTAAATACAAATTTTATCAATTTATTTATTCAAGTAAATCTATTTATTATTTATATGTATTTTTTCCTTTCTTTCTTCGTAAATTTTATTATATTTTCTCTTTCTTATTATTTTTAATTTTTTTCTATTCCAAATCTCTTATTTTTCTCTTTCCCCTTCTATATAATTTTTTAATTAAACTATTATATTAAAATTTAACAAAAAAATCATGTTAAAATTAATATTAAAATTTAAAAAAATATCAACTAATTATTTAAAATTATAACGAGAATAATAATTTTATTTATTATGACAATAAATAATTTTATTTATAATAATATAAATAATTAATTTAAATATATTATCATGATAAATATTTAGTTTTTTCTCAATAATTATAACATAATAATAATATTTGTAATATTTCAAATTTATCTTATAATATTTTTAAAATATAATATATTAAATTATAATATTTATGAATTATTTAAATATTTATATTTCAAAAAAATTGTTTTATCAAATTTTAATCTAATATTTTTAATTAAAAAATAAGACGAAATAAGAGACTATTAAAAACAAAACATTAGAAGAAAAATAAAAAAAAGTGAAGAAAGAAAAAACAAACAAAGAAAAAAAAACAGATGAAGTAAGAGGGAAAAATAACTTAATTATATATTTAGATAAATTTTATTTAAGTATTTTTTTAAATGTATTATTTATCATAATAATAATAATAATATTATTATTATTATTATTTTAAATTTTATAATTAGATTTAATTTAACGGTAAAAAAATTCAAAATTTCTCCTACCATGAAAAAATATATTTATTCAATTTTCTCTATCTTTATTCAATTCTATCGTTTATTCTTTCTTTCTTCATAATTGATATGAACCTTCTCTGTCTTTATTCAATTCTAACGTTTCTTCTTTCTTTCTTGGTAATTGGCATTAAACGTTTTAGAATAGAGTGACATAAGTATTAATTATTTGATAATAGTTATTATTGTTTTTTTTTCAGTTCATAAATGTTATTATTTTTAAAATAAAAATAACATAAGTATTAGTTATTTTTATAGGCTGCTTGGTTGGAAGAAAAAAATGTAAAAAAAGAAGAAGAAGAAAATGAATGAAAGATAAATAAATTAGGATGAGAAAGTATACTTATTTATTGAAAAGAAATTGTCACAAAAAGAAAGGAAAGTTTTTATTTAAAAATAATAAATAAATAAATTAAACATTTGTTTAATTAAAAACTTATTCATAACCTATTTAATTATTTTTATGAATGAAATGATTTTGTAAATTAATATATATTTTTCTCAATAATAAATGTTTGGATATATAATCATAAAATAATTTTTATTATTAAAATATTTTTCTTAAAAAATTTGAGTTTAAATTAATAATAGTATCATATTAAAAAATATATTTGTTTATTTACTTGAATTTTATAATAATATTTATATTTATGATATTATATTGAATAATTATATATATATATATATATATATATATTATTAACTAGAATAGAATGAATTTATTCGAGTGAGGATAATTTTGTAAAATAATGTTTTTTTAGAAAGAAAAATATTTTATTTTAATTCATGTTTTTATATTAATTATTTTATGCCATTCACTTTTCCTAGAATTCAAGGCAATTTAAATTATTTTATTTTTTCTTTCTTCATAAATAATGATTTTTTTATAACAGTATTAATTAATATTTTAATTTTTTATTTATTTTCTTCGTCAATAATATGATTTTTTAAATAAAATGACGGAAATATTCATTATTTAAAGTATTCTTAAAGAAAACGAATTTCTACTTAAATTTATATTTGTACGTTATGAACTGAGTTGTCACGTTAAAAAGATTATAAATTTAATATTTTCTTATTAATACATAGTTTGAATGAAAAAAAAAACCGTAACAATTAATGAATAAGAAATGAAAAAGTTATTAGCCAGACTGAAAAATCAGGTTAAATATGCATTTTGATAAGTCATCAAATATGTTTTTAATATAAAATATATTTACAATTACGTTAGTTAGGAAAAACAATTAATTTTTTTCATTAAAAAAATTAGGAAAATTATTAACCTCTAAATTGATAACCATTCATTTCATACATGTGCATATACATTATTTTCAACATTTCATAAGCTGCTTTTTTTTTAATTCAACATGTACATTTTTTATACCTCTTTTAATCTTTATTACGAGTCATTTTAAATAAAATATTGTCCTTATAAGATACTTTATCATTTCAGTATATTTTTTTCATATACTTTATTAAAATCATGACTATGTATTACTATTAATTGATTTAATAATGATTTATAAGAATAAAAATAAAGATTTGTAAAAAAAATTAAAAATGAATAAAATTAATTGAATGAATTATTTTTTAATCTATGTGATTTTATCTAAACTGTCTTATAATAAACAAAATGGAGTATTAATTAATTATTTAAATGCATTTAATATATACATTTACCTAACAAATATATAATAAATATTAAAGTTAATAATAATAACAATAATAAAATAACGTGTTGTACCATTAATATTTATTAGAGTTCATTAAATATTTATTCAATGTTTGGAATGCACTTTGGCACAAAATCCTTAAATAAAAAATATTAAATTTTCAAAAGAGTGTTTTATTTTACAGTATATTGTTAATTTTTTTATTATTTAACATATACATTTTGAATAATTTAATTTATACAAAGAACTAATATTAAAAAACAAAAAAATTAATAATATTTATTGAATGCATTGAACATTTTCTTTTTCAATAAAATTTTCACATTTTTAAACAAGATTTTAAATTAAAAAACCTTAAATTTTCTTGTCAATCAAATAGAAATAATGTTAATTCGGACAATCCTTTCCGTCTATTACACAGTCGTATTCAGATCTACAATTTATCAAATTAATTAACTTTATTTTTTTTAAAATGCAAAAAAAATTGTGCAAAAAAAAAAGGATGCCACCGCAGCACAAGTGATGATGTTGTAAAATTACGTGAAAGAGTTCCAAAACTTTATCATAAATGCAAGACTAAAAAGTAAAACAAAAAGCCATGAAAACCTCACATTCTTTGCGTCACATTTCTTAGAGCGTTCCTACATCCCGCGAGACACTCAATAAAACCCATAAGACCAGCACCCCACAGAAAACCAAACACAGCTGCAACGCTCCTTTGACTAGCTGAAGAATTCATGTAAGTTTTCCTGAGATATTATTTTGATGTTGTTTTGAGTAGCTAGCTCTTTTGGTTTCGGTTCTGAGATATTATTTTGCATCTAGACTTTTTCAGAAAAATGAAAACGGAACCAGTGAAGGAAACCTTGAATTTAACCAATGGGAGGAAGAGATCTGCTGCAGTGATGGAAAGTGAGGTGGGTGAAAATGTTTTATGTAAGACAGAATCCTCATTGAATCTCGAGTTGACTCTGGGGGGTTACCGGATGGAACAAACTCCCCAAAGAGTCAATAGGAATGCGATTGAGCAGAAGCAATTGGGTAACCGTGAAGTGAAAGTTGAAGAAAATGTGAACCCTTCTAATGATAAGGTTTTGGCGCTGGAATTCATTGCCAGACTACAACGCCGCTCCAGAAGTTTCAGACGCTTAAGGAAGATACATGGTGTGGATGTGAAGAATGAACCTGAGGATATATGCCCAAGAAGATTGGTTAAGGATGAAGTGGTAGAAGATTGGGAGAATGAGGAGAAGGTTGCGGTGAATGAGAACAATGGTGTGTTCGTGGAGGAAAGGCGCGTAAATGCCCTTGAAATGTTAAGAGAAGAACATGAAAGAAATAAGAGGATAGTTGAAAACCTGAACACAGGAAAGCGAACTGTGCTTTCGTGGATGATTGATGTGAAGACACTGAAATCACGAGAGAGGGTTTATTACATGGATCACAAGAGCAAACAAGCATCACTCGGTGGAGCTGTGGTTAGAGATGGCATTCTGTGTGACTGTTGTTCTGAAGTTGTGTCCATTTCTGAGTTTGAATTTCACTCATGGAGACAAGACTTCTCTCCAGGGTTGAAAAGATCTGACCCACTGCGCAACATATGTTTGGCCAGGGGAAGAGGACTTTGTCTCTTGCAATGCATGGCAGAGGCCTGGGAAAAGGAAGAGGAATCTACTGGTAACTTCTATAACTTGATTCCTGTTAATGGACAAGAAAAAAACGACGATACTTGTATTCTCTGCTGGGAAATGGGAGACCTCACTTGTTGCGATGGTTGCCCATCAACTTTCCATCAAGACTGCCTGGGTATTCAAGTATGTGTGCCTTCTTGCATCACTATTCCTATAATTTTTTTTCATTTCATTTCATAGCATGAATTGTTCTATTTTTATAACATTTTTTTGTTTTTCTTTTTTTAATGATATCATTTTTTTTATATTCACATTTTTTCTGTCACTTTTTTTTTTTTAAATGTGAAGGGCGTGTTTTCTATCACCAAAAAAAAAAATTTTTTTGATTAGATGTCTGTTTAGTTTCATTAGTATATGTCTCAAAAATTATTGAACTGTTAGCCAAACTATGAGCATTTTGTACTCCATTGTTGATAATTTTACAATAAATTCAAATTATACCAATATATAGATATATCTGTTTAGTTTCATTAGTATAGATTTTGTTGCCTAAAATTTTTAATCTATTAGCCAAACTTTGAGTATATGTACTCCATTGCTAGTAAATTTTCTCATCTTATCAATTATACCAAAAGATATAATTTTAAGAACTCCAATTACACTTTTTCTTTAAAAAAAATTAAAAGTTTATTTATGAATTTCTTAACCTTAAGAGTCAATGCTTATCAAATTTTATTAGAGAAGAATTTGACAAGATAATTTTTTATAAAATTAGCCATATAAATAACTCTTCTTAACAGTTCCTTAAATAGTGAGACAATCTATTTAAAATTCTAATGGATTGTACTTTTCATGCTAATGTATGACAATTTTATTTTTTCATTGCAGGCATTTCCAGCGGGTCGTTGGTACTGTACGAACTGCTGTTGCAAATTTTGTGGGTTGTTTTGTGGAAGTTCTGAAGGTTTTGTCCACTTTCGGATATCGGCCATATGCCGTTTATGCGAGAAAAGATGTATGTCCTCTGCATACATAATGTATTTTTATGAATTAGGTTCTCATTTCTGAAGCTATTAATTCATTTCCCCAACAATACCAAATTTATCTCTTTGCAGATCACATATCCTGTCTTCAGGCCAATGGAGGCAATGTTGCTCTTGCTCAAGATGCATCCTTTTGTGGAAATGGATGTAAGGAGGTATGATCTATTTATTTCATGTTCTTCAATATTATACCCGCTTTGTGAATTTATGATGGTGATGTTATGTTATTCTGCCATAGTAAGTGGGTTGGTGTTCGTTCATCTTTTGCAATTATATTACCATTTTTTTGCTTAATTCATGTTTTTCATAAGTAAAATGTATATTAATGTAAAACAGAACCAAGGCACAGCAAAGGTAAGAAGAGTGTAGAAAAACAGTTGTCTCCAATACATTCATCTAGCAAATTGCCCTAATGAGGGCAATATCTTCGCATAGTTTTTTTCATCCACCATACCCTTTTAATTAACAACTGACATAAAGTCAGGAATTATCCAATTTGCACCTCTAAATAATATCCTTGAAATACTTTTCAGCAAAACCATATAACCTTTTAAATATCACCACCTGTTATAGAGAAGTCTAGTGCTCAGTTTATGACAGACTTTCAGGTGTTAAAGGCTGCTTTGTATATTTCCTCCATATATTAGTCTACCACACCCCATCCTCAAGCTTGCACCTTCTTCGCAAATTCAATAGGATTAGAGCACCATTATGAATTTACTCCTTTCTTAGCCAATAATCAATGTCAAAAGAACCATCTCTTGGTAGGCCAACTTATTACATTCCAAGTGAAGCATATCTACATTTTTTGGCCCTTTATACCTTGAGTAAACACGATCAATAGTTTACACTGAATTTACAATCACTCATTAAAACTTATGCTTGAAGCAGTTTACTCATAGTGATTATTATTGACAAGACTCACCATAAAATGTTATAGCATCTTTTAATTCATGTAGTAGACTGTACCTAATGAAAAAGATTTGGTTGTTGTTGTTGTTGTATCCCTGTTGATGGCAATCTAACTAATATGTAATTTGATATTTTGTCTTCCCAGATATATGAGAAACTTGGACATCTGCTTCGGGTTAAGCATTATATGGAAGGTGGATTTTCTTGGTCTTTTCTTTACCGGTCAGAGGTTGACTCTAAAGCTCTAATGATAGATAGTCGTTTGGCTGAATGCAATGCAAAACTGGGTGTTGCATTATCTGTACTGAATCAGAGCTTCATGCCATTCAACGAAGAGGAAATCGGGGTTGATATAATGCGAAGTATTATATATGGTTGTGGGTAAGCTCACTTGACTTACTAGTAACATTTTTCTTAGGGCTCATGTAGTTGAGATTAGACATATTAATATAAGATTAGATATATTTGTGATATTTTTAATAAATAACTCGAAAAACATGATCATTTGAGGTCCTGATGAAGAGGGTGGTGAACAAAAAACTACCCCTTTAAGGATATGAGTGCATAGAAAAGTTATATGGAAATGATTTTGCATACCTTTAACATTCATATTTAAGTATTTATTACGTGATCATAATTTCGTGCAACTTAAAATCTAATATCTGTGAAAGGGTGGATAGTTTTTTTTGTATCATGTGTGGTCGTTATATATCTTGGTCAGGTCAAACATCCCTCGCCTGGATTTTAAGGGGTTTTTCACTGCGATTCTAGAGACTGATGATGAGGTTACCAGCGTCGCTTCAATCAGGTATAAATGTCTATTTAAATTTTCTCATAAATGTTTTTATGCAACTTTTATTTGTATACAAAACGAATTTTCGAAATAAATATAACTTGTAAGGCCAAAAAATTATTATTATATTTCTTTAGTGTTGGATTTCTCTTGGACCAGCTCTCTGCAGTATTGGATTTAGGAAAATGATGCATATAAACACTCCATGCCAGTATTCACTTTAGTAGAAAAAGAATATATACAAAATATAGCTATAATAAATGATGAGATATAATTAATAAGAAGAGATATATAAAGAAAAATGCATATAGTTTGTCTGCATTATTGTGGTGTCAAAAATAATATTACTCTTGGATATCTTAAATGGTTTGTTTTAGTATTTTTGGTTTATTTGTTGGACGGTAAATACTGGAATTTGCTCATGATAAAAATGCATTAGTCTAACTTCATAGAAACAAAAAACTAATAAGATTTTTCTTAAATGTGTATAGCTTACATGGTTAATTACATGAGAAAGGAAAAAAAATTCAGATCTAGTTTCTCAAATGCTTTTGGTACTATTCTTGAAATTGAAGTTTTATAATAGTATAGTGTGCATAATATAAGAGCTTACATTTATTAATGAGTAAGTAGGAAGATATTTCAATTCTAATATAAAGAAAAATAATAAAAACTCTAAAAAAGTACATCTAAATTTTGTCCTATTTAAAATTTCTGAGATTGCAACAGACAATCTTTGTAATGAGAGCAAAAATATGTTGATAGAAAACTTATATGTTATAGGTTGTGATTTCATTTTATTTATACTTGATGCCTTTACGTAGTCCTTCTCATTTGCTTGATATATCATGATATGCATTATCGATCAATTTGAATATTTAGACTAAATTATTTTGAATTTAGTTAAAAACGATAAGATTAGAGGAAGCTTAGAAAAAGGATTATCAAAACCCAAGCTTAAAATTCACTTGTCACAAGCTTTTGATATTGCTGTTTGATGATTGATTTTCAAACACTATTGCAAATTAGTAATTGTTTACTGCTATTCTGAAAGTTTTTTTTCTGTGAAGTTGCTTTCTTGAGCTATGGTTAAATGTCTCGATCCTTAGTTCAGTTACTGCCCTAGGCGAGAGTAAAATGTGAATAATGATGATAAAATTTGTTAAACAGGATTCATGGGAAAAAACTAGCAGAGATGCCATTTGCTGCAACCGCTTTTAATCACAGGGAGAAAGGAATGTTCACCCGGCTTCTGCAGCGAATTGAATCGGTGAGTTCATTAAGGTTATTTGTTTCGTTTGTAACATGTATATGTTGTTGTACAAGTAACACTGTTCACAAGGTTTTGAAAAATCATCTGCAGCTTCAACTGTAGCCCTAACAAGATATTTTAGGTTTTTGTGACTGAATTGTGGCTGCATTTGTCCCATTTCTGTAGAATTTTTTACAATATCAATAACTGTAACGAAATTTTGACTATAATGTTTTTGGTTTTCAAAACTAACTTGTGTTTCTATGACTCTTACTATTTACCAGGCACTCAGCTTCCTAGATATTGAGTTATTGCTCTTACCAGCTGTGCATCAAGGAAGACAAATTTGGGTTCGTTCTTTTGGGTTTGAGCCACTTGATACGAACACCAAGAACATGATAATGGGCATGGATCTGAAGGTATTTAGTGGCACAGAAATGTTGCAGAAAAGGATACCAAAGCTTACATAATTTGTGGAGGGTGACACTCCAAGGTATGAACCAAGTTCAATCAGGAAGAGGAGAAACATTATTCTATATAAGACCTCTTGCTTGTTTTATCATTTGGAGGATGAAATTGTTGTCCATTATGTTCTCTTGTAGATTCATAACCTTGGTTTGGAGTTATTTTTATTTAAAGTGGATTGGGTCCAACTGACATTTCCTATGGACACCAAGAACCACTTTACAACTAAACTTTAGACAACTTTATAATTTGTCTGCTTTCCCTTTCCCTTCAATTTGGTCACAAATTAAGACCACATAGGAACTGTCATATTTAAAAATGAGGAACCTAGGTTTATGCGCTGATAAAATTCAAAGGTTGGTCTTGATTGTCCAACAGAATGAAAGGCTTCTCATTTGCCTTTTATGAATGGTCGCCCCATGGTGTGTTTGAAATGTTTAGTGGTGTGTGGTCTAAACATAGAAGGTAGTATGGTATTCGTTGAATGCTGTTATTTTTCATGCATTTGAAAGGGTTATGGTACCCTCGTGCCCTTCTGATAATATTTTCCAAAAAAGAGTTAAACCCAGTTAAAATATTAGGTACAGTTTATGTTTGAATTAGGGTTTAAAATATATATTTTTTATAAATAGTTATAATCATGTTGCATCATTTTTATTTTATTTGTCCCAAAATGAATTAAAATAGTATTTCATTATTTTATTGGTATGAATTAAAATAGTATTTCAGTATTTTCTTGGTACAAAAATATTTCAAATATATAATAAAAAAGAAAAAAATACTTTTAGAAAAATACAATAAAACATTTTCTTAAAACCAAATATGTCCTAAGTAGTAATGTGTGGGAGATAGTTATATAATTATTCTACATTCCTATATAGTTTTTCAGCATTTTTATTTTGTATGATTTACATATATTTTCATAATTTTAATTTTTTATCTCTCTTCATTATAACATTCTTGTCTTTGCTTTCTTCAATCAATTTAGTAAGAAATTTGTAATATTATATTCTAATTGGTTTTCTCTTGTGTGGGATTTTTAGATTTTTATGTAATTTCTTTTAAAAGATTATCAAAATATATAAGTTTTTAAAATCTTACATATAGAAATAAGTACAGTTTTAACACAACTTTTTCATAAACGTTCTATTATTATTATTATTATTATTATTATTATATATATATATATATATATATATTATATAACTTATAATAATTTTTTTAATATATTTTCAATAATACCCTTATCATTTTATTCTTTTCTCTTCACCAAAATTAATAATAATAATTTTTCTGTTCTTTATAATAAAATATCATTTTTTCTCATCCTAAAAAAAGGTGAGAATGTAAAACATTTCTTCATTTTATTAAAAATAAGATTTTTTATGTTTTTCAATCTTAAAAATTTCACTACCAACAATTTTGATTTGAAAATTACGAGAAAATTTTTGTTTTCCACCAAAAAAATTAATATCACTTATAGTTTCTCTCTATAAATTCAAACAATCAATTATTTTATATTACAAGATTCTCAATAAAATTTAGAAGATAAAATTTAAATTTCTCTCTAATCATTGGCAGAAAAGAATTTTCTGAAGAATTGCTCCATCATTATTACCGTCTTCATCTTCTTCTGGAAACTTATTTAAACTAAATCCACAATTAGCTTTTACATTTAAGTCAAAATCACTTGTTGTTTATGCTTTTGTTGTGAAACATCTATTGGAAGCCAACATCGTATCAACTTTAAAAGTTTTTTCATATTTGCTCATATTGTTTTCTTGTAAGCATGTGTTAGTCTTCAATCCTTTCTACAGAATTTTTGTCTTCTCCTTTTTTATTTGTAATTTCACTTAATTATTTTCGCTTTTAATTAGATTCATTACATTTTTATCATATTTTTTTTAAATGAAACAAAGTTTACATATTAAGGTGAAGTTATTTAAAGAAATGAAAAATAATAAATTGTCATTGATATTATTGGTTAATAAAAACTTTCCGTCTATATTATTAGGATATCAAAATAATCATGTACAAGCTATAAAGTCCCATAAAATTAGTATTTTGATTCTTTTTAAACTTTTTAAAAAATAAGGATATTTTATACTTTTAGAAATAAAAATTGTTTATCAAAATGTCATATATTTTAAAGTAGAGAAAATAAATTCTTTTATTGAAAATCTATGAATTAAAATCTCAATGAAATAAATAGGATAAAATTAAATAAATTATAAATAAAAAACTCATAATTTAATATTTTAATGTTTTAGATTTTAGGATAAAGATATTGAATAAATATGAAAAAAATAAATAATTTATAAATAAATAAATACCTGAAACCAGGTTATTAGGTTTTGGATGAACCATATTTCTGTATGAGATTGAGTCATATGATGGATGAGAATCTGTGTTTGTTTTAGAAATACCCATCATCTTTGAATCTATCTGTTATGGTAATTTTATAATTGACCTCTACAAGGTTAAAAACCCTCTAGGGCATATTTGGACAAGTAGCAATTGGCATATATGCTGTACAGTATCAACTATTAGACTGTTCCTCCACCACACTCCTATTATTATCTGCATGTTCCCACGCAATTGAGTTTTTTTATCATAATCAAGTTTCCACTAAAAAAAATACTATTATCTTCTTTTTTTATTGTCTTGCGCCACTGTCTAGCTGTTTTCCAATTCTTATTTTTCTTATCTGCATCTTGCATGTGGCGTTTTCTGATCTATCTACTCACTGTCTGGATGCCGCCATTCCATGCGTACAAATCAAAATACTATTACTCCATCCCAATACTAATTTACTCACATATATTCACCTGTCACAATTTCTTACAACTAAGGAGCACTTTCAAGAGTTAAATAATAAATTGTTAATCACCAAGCTAGATCTAACCACAAACTGGAAGTTCAGACTCAATTTCAGCCTGCAAATTGTAATTACGTCTTTATACGAATCTTGACGAAACCTCACTGGGATCTGTGTATATATATTCAGTACCACACGGAAATAGCAACACTGACATTTCAGCTTCTCTGCAACCTGCACACTTCAGAGTTCACTCCAACTTCTTTCTCTTTCTTTCTTCTGTTCAACTAGAAATTTCCTTGTTACTTCCCTAGATTACTCAATCTTGTTTTCTACGTACTACATAACACTGAACATCATTCAAAATCCTTTAAACAGGTTATTTTCAGTTTAATTTTAAAATGTGCATATCATATGCGAGTTGCTATTAAAAGAAATCTTATGTAATGCGTGATCATATTTTAATATTACGTCTCCAACTTTTACACATTCATTTAATCATTTTTAAAGCTAACTTGAGAATTAAATACATATGTAATTAGGGATCATGGAAAAAAAAAAAAACTTTTTGTGAGGAGAAAAAAATGACTAGAAATAGTATTAGATATAATATTCCTATAGAGAAAAAAAATATATTAAAAAGATGAATAAGGACATGGAATGCATGGCTAACGGGACCAACTTTGGGATCGGGTTCAGGTTTCCATTCCCCACAAACCTTCACAAACAAAAAACAAGAAAAATCAAAGACGTCACTTCCTAAATGAATAAATTAACTAAATTGCAAAATTTGTGAACAGCGCATTAGTTGATCAACCTAACTTAATTATGCGAAGAAAAAATTATAATATTAATTAATTCATACGTAAAATAATGTCGATTATAATTTATTATTAGTTAATCTCTACCTGGCAGGCACCCACGTTTAAGTTTTCAACTTACAGATGCACATGTAAATTCTCAAAAGTTACTGTAACGAATTCGAACATCCACCACCGCCGACGGCAACGTCGCCGGCACTAAGATCCTGCGGCGGCGGGGAAGAGAGCGAGATGAGGCTGAGGAGAAGATCAGAAAAAGCGCAGAGGATGAACTTGTGTGTGCTCTTCGGGTTGAGCGCGAGGTAGCAGAGAAGAAGCTCGTGCAGCGCTTTCCAATTGGCCGCCACGTCCATCAACTCGGGACGCGCCGCCACCATCTCCTCCATGGAGCGCCGGAAGTCTGCGTAGGGGTCCGGAGAGTACGTCGTCACCGCAACGCTGCCGTCGAGCGCAGCTTTCGCCTTCTCGTCGACGGAAGCGACGGGTTTTTCTGGCGAGGATGAGGAGGTGGTGCAATAGGCGTCGGTGATGGTGGATTCGACGATGGAGTTGGAGCGGCCGGGGCAGGTGAAGAAGAAGCGTTGGGAGGCGAAGGCAGAGGCCAGGTCAGCAGGTTCGGGTTGGGGTCCGAGGTTCAGGAATGGGATAGTAGGATCGTAGTTGAAGTTTTTGATCGGGGATGGTGACGTGGCGGGTGGTGATGGAGGGTTTTGATTTTGATCAGCGGTTGAGGAAGTGGCGGTGGGGCTTGTAAGGGAAGATTGTGGTGTAAACGGTTGCATGGGATATGAAAAACATAGATTCAAGTTTAAGCGGCTAAGGTTGTTTCTTTTTTTTCTTCTTTCTCCGGTTTGAGGCATGTTTGGCGTCATGGCATGGTTGGTTAGGCGAATTGCGAAGAAAGGAAAAGGGAAGAAAAAAGGCATATTGTCGATGGGTATATCACACATATATATACACACACTAGTTATGAAAAGTTTATTGCACGGTTGAGTTAATTTATTTCTTTTTTTCCTAAAAGAAAAAGGTGAATGCCAGGGAAGGGGATTCGGTGGTTTCGGGGTTCGTACGATTTCAACGGTGACGGGACAGCCGTAGAACACAGTGGTATTAAAGTCGGACCCACTCACTGTCTTAGATCAACAATTGCTTTCACCTAAGGCGCGTGGCTCCACGGGCCTCAACAGTTTTTGTCTCTCTACTTTCTACCCGAAAGAGACACGATCGAGAAAAGGGGTTTTTTTTACCTGCAAGTGTTATTATTCAAAAGAAATTTAATTAGGTGACGTTATTTAAGATTGTTTTATGTGTTATTCAGTTAAAGTTTCATTGAAATGATGGTTCCTGCAATGTTCCCAAAATAAATTTTGAGTCCTAGTAAGTCAAAGCGTCTGCAATTCTGTTTGCATATCTTTCTTTGAACAGACATAAAAATACAGCTCCAATCTCTCTCTAAAGCTGATGAACTTCAGGTGTTCATGCAATTCCAAATAACCCAATTGCTGTACCAACTACTGTTATTAGTTCACAAATGAGTCTTCTAATCCCATATCCCAGCTTAGCACCATTATCTAATAGCCTAGTCTATTAACTTCCAGAATCCAGCATTCAGCATGCATTTCATGTATACGACGACAAGGTTCTTCTGAATATGCAACCAAAGAATCTTCACATTCAGAATTTGTGTTTTCACTTCATGAGGGGTATATATATATAGACTATGCAGGTTCCATTTGTTATCCAACCAAACATCAGTGCTACTCCTATCACTATCAGTAATATGTACGTATGGCACCAGAGTTGCAATTGGACCTATTCCGACCCAATCTTCATAGAAAAAAGACGATCAGGCAGAGCACGTAAGATTTAAAAAGGGCAACCTTGTCCAATCTTAAAAGTAAACCCTGGTTATAAATTTCAAGTTGATGCTACACCACACATAAGATGAATCTTTTTTTTTTTTCCCTTTAGTCGAAAAAATTGATCCATTTCTTAAATAAATCAGCTTACCAACAGAGGAGATCCTTCTAGAATCCTTCAACCCACACCCCTATTTTCCTTTGGATTAATCTATGTTTTTCAGGGAACCATGCACTAACCTCTCGAAACTCGACATCTTTAACCCAGATAAACCTTCTGCACATTTGATCAATAGAATCACAAATATTTGCTAAATATATGAGAAGAGATGATATGGCCCACTTTGCTAAATAGATTCTACTCGTATTTTCAACAACTTCCCCTTCCTATAGATGAGATTCTCGATCTCACCTTCTGAATAATATGTTTAAAGTCAGACGTTTTTACTCCTCCTGTGAGCAGGTAATGACTCGGATATTTTACCCAAGGTGGGTGAACATCTTATATTAATACCAAATATGTTTTCAAATTATGAGAGTGGTTCAAATATTTGTTAGTTCTTTCTCAGGACTAATACCCATAAATTTTTACGAATGGGACACTGATAAGTTATCTCATGTACTGATAGGCCTTTTCAAGAATTAACACTAGTAAATTTTCACTAATCGAACCTCAACATATCCTCAGCAATTATGATGTTGCATTCAACTTAAAATATTAAGGTGTTTGGTTTGTGTATCAATTTTTCCATTTCTATTAAACATAGATTTCAACTTATCATTAGATTCCAACAATATCAATAGTACACATTTTGTAATTGAAAAATATCTTAAAATCTCTTACTTTCTCTTGTGGGGTAAGTTGAAAAGGATATTAGTCATATTTTGATATCACTCGCACAGTTACACTTTAAGAGAGTTTTATTAAAAAGTATTTTTCGCATATGAAATCAGTTAACTGGGAATTTTTAGATTATATATGATGCTTGAATTTAAATTTGTAAAAGGTTTAGATAATTAAAGAGATTCGATCTATCGTCATTTTTTTATTCCTTTTGGGGGAGAAGGATATGGTAGAGCCTCGTATTGGAAATGTTGAAGAAATCATAATAAGGAATTATTTAGCGATTTATCATGAATCTTTAATATGCCCATGAAAACATATTGGTTTGTGGACTTCAATTGGATAATTTATTCTTGTTATGTAAGGATACGGTGATTGAGAAGTAAAAAAAAAAAAACAGTTAATTATATTTTGAATAGATTAAAGTTAAACCAATTCATATATCTTCCTTTATATCAAATTATCAAAATTATTGAATTGGTTTCTTAATGGGATAGAGTCCTTGACATCTTGAAGATAAATAAATAAAGAAAAACATTCTTCTTTTTCTGCCCTTATTCTCCAGAATGAATACATTTGGCCCATCTTCCATAAATTCTTTACACCAATTTGTAAAGGTTGTGACTAATACAAGACCATAACAGGATTGTACATCATGTCTTTCAAATAACTATCAAGACCACATGAATCATTTTTTTTATAATAAATTCTATAAAAGTCTTCACATTCTATCAAAAGTATCGAACAAAAGCATATTGTAACGAGTCTTCAAGTATCACTGTAAATTTTCATTATATTAACTATACATGATACACACATGAAAATAAGAATCCATATTAGATAAAATTAGAAGGTTCCAAATAGTACAAACCAACTTTCATTTCGAAAAAAAATCGCACAGGAAAATGATGTATCAGATGGCCATCATTTTTCAATATTCATGCAAGTTATCACAAAGAGTACTCTCCCGTCCAGCCAAGATGCACTTCCATTTTCCTGTTCAAGGCAGAGAATATAATTTCTGCTGTAATGTCAGCGATAATATTACCAAGCAGCGAAAGATATATATAAACTTCTATTAATCTTAATTCGTAAATTAGGTGCGACCTGCGAGAACGGTATTAATTTCCATTTACATAGTGTGTTTATGTTGAAAAAAAAAAAAAGATGGTGGAAGTGTTCTGGTTATAATTATCTTGTCCTTGTTCTTATTACGAAAAACATCGATTGGCTTGTCTTGAAGTCATGATGCAATTTCATTATGCCTAAGAGAGACCCCTACTTCAATGTTCCATTATTAATGAGACTTATGTGTAGGAAGTGTACCATAGAATATTAACCTGATTTGAACCTAAATAAGCCACTGAGGGACACATTGCTGAATTGCAAGGAAGAGAAATGCCAAGAACTAACTTCTAACACTTATGTTTTGTTCTTTTGGAGGATATGTGGTTGGGTAGATGTAATCAATTGCACTTTTATATTACTCCAGATTCAAGAGAGGGACCGAAGAAATTTTCTTAATCTGACCATGCAGTTTTCTGATAAGCATGCACCAGTATGGTAAAAAACTCAAATTGGAACTCATATGCGTATGACTAACAACTATAGTATAATAAACACTTAGATGGGAACTCTCTATCTCCTTCGTCTCTTTGTATGGAATGCAAATTCAATATCGTTATTTAAGTGGAATTACTAAAATGCATTGACCAATTAATTAATTAGGTAAAAAGAGAGGAAGAAATCCATGTTCAGACAATTTTTAAGATACATAGTTTTAAAAAAGTATTTAGGAAAAATTTTCATAAGTTAATTTTTCATAATACCTGTATATAGTGATTCTAAGATAGTTTTTAAAATTAATAAAAAGATAAAATAGTAAAAAAAAAATGTCGACACAAAAAAGACAGCATTTTAATTTTGTTTCAATATTAGATAATATAGGGTGCCATTTTTTTTCTAAACAAGAATCAAGAATTGTAAGATTGATTCATTTTCTTGAAGTAGATAATTAAATTGAATTTCCTTCATTAAATTCAACCATGTTCGTAATGAGTACTACTAATTCATTACAACTATTTATTTCGAGTATCTATTGGTTCAATATTTATTTCTCATCCTAACACAGCCATAAAATTTGTTGGGTCACATAAAGAGATTCTTAATTTTTGTTCCTTTTTAAAAATAAAAAAAGAGTTCTGTTGCGAAGCAATTATTATTATCTTGTCCATGTTTCTGTGGTTATCATGGCTTGGAGTTGATGCAGTAGACAGATACATAAGACATTGTATGCTCCTGCGTGTTTTTTGCGAGGAAAACTATAGTAAATCCATGTTCCTATGCTCATCATGGCTTGGCTTGGCTTGGCGAACGCGCATTTTCCTGCAATTTGGGCTACACCAAAATGTGACCCCTACTTCAATATTCCATTATTAGTGTACGTATATCACTGTGTTCAATCCAGTGGAAACAGCGAAAGACCCCTTTTGTTTAACCACTAGGGGAAGAAAATAGCCAAAGACTAACTTCTAACTATATTTCTTTCTTTTGGAGCATGTGTATATGGTTATCAATCAATTAAAATTGATTTACTCTCATGCAAAAAAATGAGTAAGGGAAACAGAGAGAGACCAAATGCTTTTCAGTTTGTCCATGCAGATTCTGATAGGGCACATGCAGAAACCACCAAATTCTTTTACTGTAAAACAAACTGTTGTCGTGCATGTCTGTAATATGTTTTATGATAAGATGTGTTATTATATCAATTATGATAAGGTATTTTTACAAATTGAGGTTTTAACAATTTATAACTTGTGAAGATTGAACACATATTTCTCTTACACTCTCCAACTATTTTTGCCTTGTGGTTGAAGAAAATACGATGGTCCAACCACCTTTGTAACTGTCAGAGGCTTCGCAGGAAGCACGTGGTGGGGGAGTTTTGCTTAGTATAGAGTTCATGGACACAATACTTTGCTTCACTTTGCGGCCAATATCTAATCCCATTCATTCTGCTATACGTTGCCATCTATGCACACTTCCTATGCAGTTAAATTTTCTCTTTTGGGGTAATTAAACACTCAAAAAAGTCATTCACAGACCAAAAGAATTTCTCAGACACTCGAATTTTCTTCCATACAACTTTTCACTTAAGAAAATCCAAATC